TCAAAGTCGGTTCCTGTTCACTCTGAGCATGGGACGAAGGAGGATTTTTTCTCAATCTAGTAGCTATAAATTTGGCTTGTAAATCCATTGTTCTTTGAACGCACACATTCGAATCATGCCGTAGTCGGTCAACCTTTTTTGCTTCAATGTAGAGTCATCATCAAACCATTGCCAAGTGGCCCAAGCATGATTTGTAGTCGATCAACCTTTTTTGCTTCTATGTAGAGTCATCATCAAACCATTGCCAAGTGGCCCACGCAGCTGCATCAAAGTCGGTTCCTGTTCTGAGAGCATGGGACGAAGGAGGATTTTTTCTCAATCTAGTAGCTACCAATTTGGCTTGCAAATAGACCACTCTGTAGTTCTGGTGCTTCACTTTATTTACAGTAGGTCTGTAGTTGTAGTTCTAGTGCTTCAGGCTTTGTCCTGTGCATGCATTGATTTGATTGAATTCAAGACCATGACGAATTTGCGTGTTTGAGTCGAGTCCAGTGAGTCAAGCGCACGTCAATCGGCCCAAGCATCGAATCGAATCCACCTTCCTTCATGTGGGCTCGAAAAAGCACTAACACCAAGAAGACGACGACACACTGTTACTTGTCCTTCTCTTGTAACGCATATCGTTGTATACAGACTACTCTCTCTTGAACTACATGTACATCGATAGGCCACGTCGATTCGCCGAGTGATTCGCAGCATCAATTTGGGCGGCCCAAGCAAAGAGCAATCACGCAAGCACCTCCTTCACGTTGCACCGCACCGCTCCGACTTGACTTGACTCTTGTGCACAACGACGATCGACGCGACGCGACGCGACGCGACGCATCTAGTTGCTTGTAGAGTGACCAAAACAAAGAGCAATCACGCAATCTCTTCCTTCGAGAGACTCGACTGAGTCATCGGCATTGCACAACTCGTCGACCCATCGGCATTGCACCGTTCGAATCACGCTAGCATCGCACCCATACAACTCGGCTTTTTCGACTCTTGCGATACAACGACGATCGACACGACGCATCTAGTCTAGTTGCCTGCAGAGATTCGTGGAGACCAGAAAGACTCGATTCGTTCTTCCACCATGGACGGCGTCGAAATGTACGGATCGCCTCTTCTTACTACTATTAGTCGCACTGACAACAAGGCAGCTCAACCACCAAAGATCCAGGCAGTCCTCCCTGGATGCATTTGTCAAGGGCAGGTTTGTTCTTTCTGTGGGCTTCAATCTACATGAAGGTGGCTATTTTGGCATTTAAGAATACAGTCGTACCTCAGAGCTGCGATTTGGCTGCACGTTTCTTGGTGGTAGATTGGATAGGTGCTTCAATGTACCAAGTGCAGAAGCAGCCACAGAAAGACTAGTAGCTGCAGAGTTGAAGGAATTGCTCATGAAAACGTGTGAAATGAAAGGAACTTGCCCTGGAGGAAGAAGAAGCAGCATCAGCATAGTGAGTAGCTATAATGACAGCAATGACAGCAAAGCACAGCAGAGTAGTAATTCAGCTTTTCAGATCGGATCCCCACCAAGGAAGATATCACGTTGAATTCTGCTGGTAGCAAACTAATTAGGTGTCTGCAAGTTTGGGGGCTTCCTATGAATCGCATGAACACAGCAAACGAATTTGATATTCATCATGGCATATGGCATAGGGCTGTTGGCAGCTACTGGTATATTCTGGATAAAACTATTCTCGAATGGACGAATGGAGGACCCTTTGTTGTTCTGTCCCCGAAGTAGTCTAAGTGTTCTCTCGGTTCTAGATGGTGGTCGGTTCCGTTTTCCAGCCAAAGAGCGAGATCTTCACTTGCAACTACTTTAGTATGGGTTGGTTGCTGGTTACGGCTGGATCCTGAAAAGTAGTGTTCACCTCCAGGAGCGACTGCTGGACAGACCGGGGCGTACAACATGTACCACCAGGCAGGCAGCTTCTCGAGTGGCAGTCCTCTTGCTGGTATCTGAGCTCGCTGTGCTTGGATTGATTCTGCGAGGCTGGCTTGTACGGTAATGGCTGTCAGACTTGCTTCCGGCTACACCGGCATCTTTTTTGACTTTGAGGAGCTCTCCACTTTCCGCGTTGCTCTGTCTAGCTAGACACCGTTTCAACAGGATGGCCATCACTCTCAAGCCGAGTACGGTACCGGTACGGTACCATACTCGGCTTGAGCTACATGTATCGATATCAAAGGGGTGCCCATGTGCCCATCACTGGTTCTATTAAAATTTTAAAAATAGCTACATGTACAGTCGTATGCATACCGGTAGATGGCCATATGGCCATAGATGGCCACTACATACGTGTTCTCGTTCTCGTCTCGGCTACTTATGCCGAACAGTACGAGATCTTCAGTACATTGAGACATGTTTAGAAGCGTTTCTTTGGAGCAAGCACAAGTCCTTCGAACATTCCGAGAATCATCATTGTGTGATTATACGTGAAAGCTTGCGTGAGTAAATGGATTGTTCTTTTTCTCGCAATTGTATTTATTGCCTATTTCTCCTCTATGTTCACTTGGTCGACGTGTTGACCACCCAAATTGTCTTTTGGCAATTGGGAGCTTGCGAGCTCCGCCCCCGAATGACCAGCTACTAGTACAGCATCTCAGGCAGTCTTCTTGGCCATTGGCCATTGGGGCCGTTGTTGACCATCAAGTACTAGTAAGTCTTCCCCAGAGCGCAGAGCCGAATGCTGTTGGTGACCAAGTTACCAAGTTTCACGGTTCACAAGGCTGTAACAAAAAAGGCACAAGATGCTTTCATTGAGAAGAGCTTATTATTACTGAGCCAACCCATCCAACTATTTCTATTACTTTTGAAAGCGCCAGTTAGTTGGTTTTTGAAGAGACAGAGAGAGTGAGAGCAAGCAAATGGTGGTGAAGAACATCATCTATCCGCACTCGGTGCGTGCCGATTATAGCACCATGGCCGACTCGACTCTGGACGACAGCGCTTCTGCCATTGCCATGTCATCGACGAGAACTGCAGATACGCACATGACCAAGGATAGCATCCGCGCGTTTCTGATTGACTTCTGCATCGACGCCAAGACGCTGTACGACAAACCCAAGGAATGCTGGGAAGCCTTTTATGAGAAAACGCACCATCCCGAGTACACCCATATCCGCAACTCGGGAAATGCGTTGACATCGCAAGAGTTTATCGACATGCTTACGGGGGGTGTCTTGGTAGGCACAGATCTGCAGTTGGTCTCGATTGACAAGATCGTCTTGATGGCGGGTGGACGATCTGCCGTCGTGACCTACACGATCGATCAGCACTTTGAGTACAAGGGAGTACCCAATTCGGATCGATGTGTCTACACGTTGGTATTGGAAGAAGTCGATGGAGAACCCAAAATGGTACAAGAGCAACGATCCAACGGCATGCCAATACCAAAACCCAAATCCAGATGGCAGACCAATGCAGATACAGAAGGACATCACAATCATATCGTAGACTATGTCAATGATGACGACAGCGGCAAGACACACGGTGAAACCATCAAAAGCAACGACCACAACAGCCACAACACTCCCAAACCGACGAATGACCAAGTCACTCATCATCATCATAATAACAGTCATACGCAGCCACCCAAAAAGCCAAGCACTAGGAGGCGGTCCGGGACATCCTTGGTCAGTCTCCACGAAGAAGCAGACGATGCACCGGCTGCCACAGATCCCTCCAATCACATGACCATACCACCAACACCACCCAAGAACTCGTTCACCTTAGTTCCGACACCCGAGACATCATCATCATCGTCCACTGAAAAACACCACCAGAGACAATCGACTACGCGTACTACGAAAGAAGAACCCACATCTCCCAATCATCCAACACCCAAAAAAGCCAACCGAGAAACCAAGCGAACCAGTTCCTCGTGTACGTCGTCCTCCCCAACCCACCGACACAGAAACATTTTGCGCGGCAACGACAAAGTCAAGCCTCTGCCCTCGAGATGGAACTCGTGACGGAAATCTTATTTTCGAGCGTGATCTACTGTACACTTACTTTGTTTTGAAAGAAAGACCTGGTGATGATTCGATTCTGCCCAAGGTATGCCGGCAGCTAGCTAGCAAGTAGCCAGCTAGCTACTGTAGCTAGATAGTACCGTAGGTTGATTCGACTCGATTGCATCGAGACGGCTCGACGATGGCCAGCAAAACTTTCGTTCCTTTATTCCGGTCTCTTTGGGTCCAAGCTTGCCGCATTTTTAGATTAGAGGACCTGCAAATTACCTATAATAATAGATGCAATCATTAGAGATTTGGCTCTTCCATCGCTGTCTGAACTGGACTGGATTGTAAGAAAATGCTCTCCAAGATCTCTTTCCGACCAAAGAGTACGGTACTACGATAATGTAGTGTCAACACTGTGCATTGGCGGCTGTTGCTCCTCCAGCTAAAGACGGCGCCGTACGGTAGCACCGCAGCCCCACGGAGGTGCCTGGAGCTGTGCTTGGTACAATCGTAGTGCCTCGACTCAGTCATGTCGTGTGACCACAGCCAGGGCACTTGAAGCAAAGACACAACAACCGCAACTTCCATCCGTACCGTACAGGTGGTAACCACCAACTAGCTAGCTATCTTTCTCGTATCCCATCACGTCTACCACAGATGCTTCCAATAAACCCATTTTATGCTCTCAGAAGCAACCTCAGAGGAAGAGTACCTCAAACACAGAGATCTGATTATTGTGACACTATACAGAAGCCACAAAGGATCAAAGATGGTGGCGCAAGGTGCTCAGCAACCCTACCACTAGCTACATTCTACAGTGCAGCTTTGTCCACTGTGCCCAAGCAGAGTACTGGTTGGTAGAATGGACATGCAACGGTGCTGCTAGCCAGGAACGGTCACCTAGAAGCGCTGACCTATGCCCATGAAAATGAGTGTCCTTGGGATGGAGAGACATGCAGCAGCAATGCTGCTCTCAATGGCCATTTGGAATGCCTCAAATAGTACGCCCGTGAGAATGGATGTCCATGGGATGGAGACACATGCAGTGATGCTGCTCACAATGGCCACTTGGAAATCCTGGAGATTGCCCATGAACATGGCTGGGTGTGCGTCCGTGGGATGAAGCCACATCCAGGGAAGCTGCTGCAAAAGGTCATTATTTGAAGTGCCTGAAATATGTAATTTTTAAAAAACAGATAGATGATAGATGTCGTCTGTAGGATTGCTTAGAATGCTTCTATTTGGCTGGAAATGGAAATTTGAAAATGCTGAAGTATGCCCATGAGTAGAATGTTTGTTCCTGGGACTCAGCTTCATGCAGCAATGCTGTCAAAATGGCCATGTGGGGAATGTGCACACATGAAAATGACTGTCCTTGGGGTGAGTTTGTATCCAGGGAAACTGCTCATAGTGGCCATTTTGGAATGCCTCAAACACTCAATTGAAAATGGTTGTCGGTGGGATGAAATGCTCTGCTGAGAACTGCACCGGTACCGGTAGATGGGGATGTGAAGAATTGGGTTCAAGCTCCCATACGGGGTATCACCGAGCAATGCATGAAGATCCCATTATCACGGTATATCTACGTAGCCACTTGTTTCCCTCCTGGTGATTTGATGCTCTCTTGCTTTGCACCAAAGGGAACTACTACAATCTATAAAGAGGATGTCATTGGCTCTAGCTAGCTGGTTAGATAGTCGTCTACTTCGTTTAGAGTCAAAAAGCACATTGGTAAGTTATGGCCAGCGATTGATGGTCCCAATACATGCAGCAAGGATGTCTTCGCAGCCAGCTCCGCAGATTAGTACCGGTACAGAGCCAACAGGCAAACCAGCAAATTTCAAGCCAGCTAGCGAGAAGGCGCATCATTCACTCACAAGACAAACTCGTTTTTAAAAATCAAGCTACAACATGACTACTAAACCTCGTGTTTGCCCTTTCCGGGGGCATCCATTTTGGGTTTTTTGGAATCCGGACTGGTCGGTTCCGTAGAATCGTTGGGGAATGCCTTTTTCATGGCTGACTGTGGCTTTTGGGCATCAATCTGATCATGATAGGGTCCAAAGGCCGTCAAAGCCTGGCATGTGGATCCGGAATTGCAGGATTGCCCGGTATGAGGACAAGGTGTGACGACCAAATCGGCAAAATGTTGTTGAATGGCTTGTTCCAGACATGCAAATACAAAGTCGTGTCCATCCTTACTAAAATGGAGTCCATCGGAAAGGAATCGCTCCCATTTTTCGTCGGTTTGAAATTGTTCCCATAGATTCAAACAGGGCAATCCCAGTTCGGTGGCGACCTGTTGACATGCGTTGGCGTAGATTCCACTGTTTTCCAAGGTCCGTTCTAGTTTGCCCGTGGCATTGTCCCCGTAACGTACTTTTTGATAGGCGAATCGCTGTTCGTGACAGACGGGAGGTGGCGTAATCAACAAAATGTTGTTTTGGCTCATCCACTTGAGGCTTGTTTGTGCCTTTTTGACGAGTGTTTTGAGATTTGTAGAATAGTCTTGAACACTGACGTAATGATGTGGATTCAAATCGGGGAGCGACGCATCGTTGGCTCCAAACCAAATGGTACAAAGGACGACATTGTCGTGTGTTTCTTCTTCCGGCAAATGGCAGTACCACGCGGTGTTGTACCCCGACATGCCTCGGTTAACGACATCGGCACGACGCTGGTAGCGATTGGCCAGTTGGGCGATCCAGCCTTCCCATCCAGTTTGAGTGAGCGAATCTCCCCACAAGACAATCTTGGGACGCGCCATTTTGGTTTTGGGCGTCAGACTTGTCTTGTCGGTGAATTCCCCCGCGGCCATGTACGAAAAGTCGACCGATGTACAATCCGTAAAGGCTCCCTTGGCCTCCACAAAGTCTCCCGTCGTTTGGTCGCCAAAGGATTCGGTAGTTTGTAGAGAGAACTCGGTAGATGTTAGCTCAGAGGCTGGTTCGCGGTTGCTTTCCGCTGGAGGGTCCATGGTCGATGGTCGATGGGATAGCCAATCTTTGTACAAGACCAAATAATTGAGAAGCGCGAAACAATTGTGAAAAGATCGATGTCTTGCATCATCCTTTTCAAATTTATTCCGGGTTCTTAAAATCCGAACTTGCAAACTTTCGTTCAGAACCGAACTTAATCGAATTCGGATATTTATCGTTTCTGAGGAGTACGTCAGCAACTGAACTTCAACCACCCACAAGAATTGACCAAAAGACAAACATCAGCACCGGTACAAGCATTGCAACACAAAAGATCGACCATGAGATAGCTGTGTTCTTTAGACTAACTTGTCATTACAGCAACAATGGTATATACTCGAGCCTGCACATTGTATACCTTGGGAGCCATCTGGATCGTTTTCTATCACCAAAAATGCTCTTCATTCCATTTTGTTTCATCCCCGATAAGGCAACGCTGCTTTCGTCACGCCATGGTACCGTATCGACAACAACAACAGCAAGACAGCGACACGGGTAGCAGGAGACGACGCATCATTCCTACGGGCGAAGAGGCTCTACAGTCGGCCATGATGGCTCGCAGCATTCGCAAGCGCCGCAATAGTCGGCGTATGAAAGTACCGCCCAAGATCAAGGATTCTGTGCTGGTACCGGTACCGGTAGACAATGATGATGATAATCAGACGACAATTGCCCCCACAACCGCTTCTCTCCTGGAACAGCCTCTTCGCCTGACGACTCGCAATGGTCGGCTGTACAATGACGTATATCAGGACGATGAAATTGCAGAACGAATGAAGACAACGGAATCCTATCGCCGGAGAAATCGGCTTCTAGACACTACCCACTTGTTGCCACCTGCTACCGTTACTACCCGTATTGGTACTACCAAGACAAAGAAACCAAGCTTGCCAGCAACAAAGATGCAGCCACAGTCTTACCATAATAAGCCAGCAATATCACCACAAGGCATCCAAAGATCCAATGGCATTGATTTACCCTACTCATCCACCATTGAAGCCCTCAAGGTGTACTATCAAATCCACGGAGACCTGGTCATGCCACGAAGATACCTAGTGCCGGCAGAGCAGGTCTATCCCAAAGAATGGCATGGTGTCGATCTTGCCAGTACGGTATATGATATGAAATGGTGGCTCCAACATGTTCAGCAACAACATGAACGGGTACAGGAACTCAACAGCATGGGATTTCTATGGGAACGACTGCAACCCGAATGGAATCTAGTATTGGAAGCCTTGATCACGTACTCGGCACTTCATGGACACGTCATGGTGCCAGGAAAGTTTGTCGTCCCCTATCAAGACACGCAATGGCCCAAGGCTACCTGGGGCATTCCCTTGGGCAATTGCGTCTATCGCATTCGACATCGGGATGATTTCCTCAGAGGTGACACGGCCGATTCACGACGCGATCAATTGGATGGACTCAACTTTGTCTGGGACGTGCAAGAATATAGATTTCAACTATTCTACACGGCACTGAAGCACTTTTCCGATCTCCTAGAAGCAGCAAGAAAGGGAAACACGGCAGCTCTACGGGTACCCTCCACGTTTGTCGTCCCACACAATGACAACGCCTGGCCCAAGGATCTGTGGGGATACCCCCTCGGGGCCAAATGCTCAGCGGTTCGTCAAAAACAGCTCTACGTCAAGGGGCATCCACATCGACAACAGTTGTTGGAGAATTTACGATTTCAATGGCATCGGGGGACTGGTAATGCCAGTTTGGGGTGGTTAAAGGTAATGCATGCCGCTGCCATCTACTCCAAACTGCATCATCGCAATTTGGATGTTCCCTACAGTTTCAAGGTGCCACATCCGCCCAAAAATGCCGACCCAGAGATGAGAGTCGATACTTGTACCGCTGCCGATGACAATAACGTGTGGCCGTGGCCAGGTACGAAGAGTTCATTGTGACACTTACTTGATCTATGAAAAAGAGGACAAAACTGTGCCTTGCTGGTCCACCTCACTTGAACTGTTTTTGCTTACCTTCCTTCAGAGTACATCTGGGGCTTTCCTCTGGGGCAACGGCTCAAGGACGTGCGACAAAAGGACGCCTACCTCAAGGGTAAAAGTGGGGAAACTAGACGGCGTCAGCTTGATGCGCTGGGGTTCAATTGGACACCGAAACGAGGACGACCCAAAAAGAAAGGTTGAAGCAACTACCGGAGACTAGCTACGGCAGGCTAGTCAGAGCCCGCTCTTCTTCTTTGCATGGCGGTGCAGACTTGTCCTGTTTGGAATTGAATGAACCCACGAGGTTCCATACCGACCTGTCGCTGTTTGCTGTAGCGTGGTTTCTCATGTGGAGGGATAGATTCGATTCTCTAAAGATGCTCCCAGGAGGTTGCTATGTCGCAGCTTCAGTTGACAATCCGTTTAGATTCTTCCCAGCATTCTCGGAACGCTGAGACAAATGGATGGGCGGCTATTTCTAAAGAAATATGACATACTCACGACCTAGTGCTAGAGCAATTCATTAGTCGCTGAATAAGATAATAGAAATTCACTGCAAACAAATCAATCTATCACGTAGCAAGGGGCCCCGGATATCCATTGCTTACCATGCATGAGCCATGCCAACGGTTGTTCCGGATTCATTCGAGTTGTGAGACTTTGTTGTGAGACCAAGTGTTGTTGCACCGCTTGCTCATGGTACCTAGGAGGTGCTCCGGCAATCCCCGCGGCGTTATCTCTAAACAACTCCCACGAGCGACGGATCGCCTGTCACAGTACTGTCACGGGCAGTCACAGGTCTAGCCAGCCCAAAACCAACGCTTCGAACGCTCTCACTATTGTTGTTTTTGAATGATAGTGGCAACCTCCCTAAGTACCTTTGTCGAGGAATTCTGTTAACAACGGAGATCAAGGAGAGTCCAGCTCCGCTCTATTGCCACTGTAATCTGACGTTGGAGGTGGCAGTGCCGCCGCAATTTGGGTAGCTGAATTGGTCGACTGATCGTGTCAGGCTGAGCGAGCTGATTGGATCCCCATGAGAAACCAAGAGGTTAAAGCCAGCATTCGACGAAAAGACGGGTTGCTCTTGTCCTCGGCAACGACAACTTGACCTCATTGGTTATTATAGCTCGATAAGAGCTAGAACTTCCCATCGGACGCGGCGAAATTCGGTTGCAATCTTATTCTGCAACCGAGACTAGCCTCCTTGTTTTCAGAATATCATTATCATCATCCTTCATTATTAAAGTCGAACCGGCAGTTGTTGCACCCCAGTTCGGCGTTTAGCCGACTAGGATTTGGCAATCACCATGCTGGAAAACATAATATGTGGGTCCTTGGTGTATGCTGGATCCTGTGATTTGAAACGTCGACAACCGATGCTCTACCGAACTGGTTCTGTGAAGAATCCATTCATTGCGTACGATGACGGGTACCATTGGCCGGATCTGTACACGGAATGTGATGAAATGGTAGAAACCTGTGTGTTGGTGTACCTTTTGGCGGAGCTGAGAAGTCTGGTACGCCAAGGAGAAGCTACGAGCAAGACCGAAAAGGTTATGCAGATGCCGCTCGAGGCCAAAGATCTTATGAGGGTAATCAACTCGAGTCGGGCACTCCTCACAACCAGCTATTCCGGATGTGGAGAGCTAGCAGCAAACAGTACCAAGTTTTGCCTGGACTTGTTGCGAACTGCAGATGAACGATTCATGCGGGTCAAAAAGAGAAGGAAGAAGGAACGAAAACTGAGGTTGAAGCAATCCTCCTCTTCCATACCCGCAGACGACGACGAGTACGGGTCGGGAGACTCTCCTACCGAGGGCAATGATAGTCTGATCAAAGGCAAACCAATAATCTGCCCCACGCTATTCATCTCATTTGACGATGACTTCAAGAAGGAAGAATTATTCTACGCGATTGGAGTGAACCACGAGAGAAGACGCATTACCATGTGTTTCCGTGGATCCGTCGTGTCGAACATTGACTGGGCAACTGATTTCGACTCTCATATGAGAGAAGTCAAAAACCCAATGAAGATGCACAGCTCACAGCAGCCAACCATGAAGGTACATAGCAAGCTCTATGATCTATTGTATGCCGAATTCTCAAGGAATCCACAAGGGGAAGGGGGCGGAGGAACCGGTAGCAGCAACAATAGCACGAGCCATGGCAGAGGGGGCGAGTTGTGGACTGTATTTATGGAGATCCTGCAAAACAAGATTAGACCAGTCACCAACAATTTTCCCGGGTACAAGGTATGTATGTGGCTGCCGTCCATGTTATTGCATGTCAAACTGCGTGAATCCTTGCTAACTTGATTGACGACATCCGATGTCGGTATGCTCAGCTCTACATTACTGGTCACAGTTTTGCAGGAGCCCTCGCTACACTTTTTGCTTTCTTAGCCGCTGCAGAGCCTGATGCTATCATTCCCAAGCCTGTCACTTGCGTGTCAATCGCCTCCCCTTACGTAGGGGACGAATCGTTTCGACAGGCACATCAAATGCTCGAAGGATTAGGAAAGCTTCGACATTTGAGGGTGAGCAACCACAAAGATGTTGTTACCGCATCTCCCAAAGTTTCATTCCGATGGAGATTCTACGATAGTAGTGCTAACGAGGACGGAGGTGGGCATGTGGGATCCCTCTTCAAGCACGTGGGTATGAACTTGAGGTTGTATCAATACGTGAAACCGACGCACATGGAGGACGGGGCTATCCCGTCTGTGCCGCCGCCTTCCTACGAAATATCCTACCCAAAGGTTCCCTTTGGATTCTTCCTTATGAATTACTTTGATGAAATGGCACGAGGTTGGGACCAGAGTCCTTTCGCAAACCTCAGCTGTAACCCCGTGGAGTACTGGACATGGCCTTGGCACAACATTCGCGAGTACAACAAGCGTCTGGTCAAGAACAAGGATTCCCTCCAAAAGATCAGCCTCAACGATCTGTACTCCAGAAAAGACATTGTGGGGAATCTTGGCTCTCAATTCTGAGCTTGCTTGCTTGGCGTGAGTAAGAGGTCAGACTGATAGCTAGCTATTAGAGATCGGATACAATAGTGTATTTTTTTAATGAGGACGAGCGGCAAAGTTGAGCGACGTTTCGAGCATGGGTTGTCGCAAGCTTTTGTTTCCCAGAAGCACTAGAGTGAAGCCATTAAGTCGGCATCACGTGGCCTGCGAACAGATCGATGTAGTCTATCTTATGAGAAGACGTACTGCGTTACTATCTTTCTCCGTTGTTTGAATCGCCAGCGTCTTGAGCAATTGTGCTCCAATCGCAGTAGTAGTGCCTGGTACTAGCTAGTACCAGGTACCAGCTAGTACCAGGTAGTGGATCGTCTTCTCTGTGCTCTCCGTTGGGTATCTCCGAGTGCGATCGTAGGGAGGGACGACCAAGTCGCCCCAACCAAACGACGTTCCGGTACATTATCCATCCCAGAAAGAGAAGCAGAGGGCGACCCAAGAAGGCCACTCCAGAGAAACAGAGTCTGGAAGTGCTGAAAGGGACCAGCAACCCAACGTTACAGATGTGATATTCAAAAACAGCGGAGATAAAAGCCGGCATCGAGCTGCATAGGCGGTGGATGGTCATGCAGGTTTCCGCGTTTGCTCGGTCACACTTCCAACAAGCACGTCGGCCCAGCTGCTCTGCAAACTTGCAAGAAGCAACCAAGTGGGAGTCGAGTGTCGTCGCGGCTCGATAAGCTCGCAAACGGAAACTTAAATTTTCCATCACAATCACTACAAACAAAACCCCAACAAAGATCAGCAAGTACCCAAAATGAAGTTCACGATCTCCTTCCTTCTGCTCATCGCGTCCCAAGTACATGTAGAGGCCACCTTCACTGTCGCGGCTACAGATACGGCAACGGGTCAACAAGGAGCTGCTGGGTGTACATGCGTTGTGCCCGAAGCCGTATCTTTGTACAACCACTATCACTCTGTGGTTGGCAAAGGTGTATTGCTATCTCAAGCCAGCCCTCCTGATGCAGACTCTCCGGTCTACAGCAAAGCGCATGAATTGCTTTCTGCAGGACAAGACTGCGACACCGTTTTGCAAGCCATCACTAATGACACCTCTTTGGATGGTGAAAGTAGCATTCGACAATATGCATGTGTTGACTCACGTGGAAATGCTGCTGGATACACGGGTGCTGGCATTCAAGAGTTCTACGATGTTTTGCTATCGTTGAACGGCGAGGAAGTGCAACCCCATGCCCAGGTTGATGAACAAGGATCCGCGGGCTCTGTATTCTACAGTGCACAAGGCAACATTGTTTCCAAGAATACGGTCCCACTCTTAAGTGACGGTTTTGAGCAAGCAGAAGGGTGTGACTTGGCCGGTCGCCTGTTTCGTTCTATCGTTGCCGTCGACGATTCCAACAATCAAGCACGCGCGAATGGCTCGAGCGAGGACACCAACTTTGAAGGGGATGTCCGATGTGAAAATGGTATTGGAGAAGGTATTATTCCAGGGTACGGTGTTCTCCTTATTCCATTTTGTGGTTGTGTTGTTTTCTTGCTCACCGTAAACTCATCACCTCTCGTTCTCGTTCTACCCTCAAAGATACGGCTATCCCGGACTCCAAGCATACATTCATGTGGAGGATGTGAATGGGAATGAAGTTTTGCATATTGAGAGTCTTCCCGAGGGAGGTGTCAACCCATACGATGAGATAAGAGAAAAATATGCTCAGTGGCGACTAGCCAATCCCTGTCCCAGCCATGACTATTCTTCCAATGCCAATGCCGCGCAATTTTCAATGGTTGTTGGAATGGCTGTGGTGGCTCTTGCCACGATTATGATCTAATTGTTATATAGCTAGTTTTGCTGGTCTTTAGCTGGTCTTTCTTTTTCCCACCCTTTACACAAATTGCCCGTGCAATCAGAGCTCGTTGTAAATTGCTGTTAGAAATAATGCTTGTTGTTCATGTTGATCCCTCAATCCACTCTTGAGGCTGTTGTGGTTCGCTTCAAAAGTACAATGCACTCTAATAATACAATGTTGAGGCTGAAACTACCTTTTTATTGACATGAACAGTATTAGCTATCAGTACATTCAAAATTGTATCCCCGGACAGTGCAGAGCGTACGACCGACCCACGTCACCTTCTATGAATAGACTTGTGGTCAATACTAAAGAAACTTTCTATCCACAGAAGCTTGCTATCCACAGAAAAAGTGGCAAGATGGAAGATATCCCTTATTTGGTGACGATTCCTGTTCATTTTCCTTTCCCTCTCGAATTGTCGAAAGGTCCTCGCTTTCTTCGTCTGATGATTTCCCAACAAGTGGATCCATAACTCGCAATACCCTGGCCTTGAATGGTTCGCTGATGTCGCCATTCTCGCCCATCTTTTCTATATGAGTCTTTGCATTACGAAAGATGCGAGAACGGAACCCTTTGTCTTTCCTCGGAACTGTGCTCCTAGAGTCATCTTTCGAAGCACTTGCACTGACACTGCCGATTGTGCTTTCGCTCGTCGTAGTTTTCGTTTGACATATGGTGCTCTCACGTGTCTTTTTGCTCTCTGTGCTCGACGAATACCTGTCACTCACACTGTCAAAGGATCCACCCGTTTTCACACCAGCTGAAAGCGTATCAAAGTATGTCGCTGCTCGGCTCGATTTGTGTTGGCGAGGTCCATTTGATTTGTTGTTGTGGCTTTCTAGTGCAACTGAAGTTGTCAGGTCTGATTCAGTCCGAGAATAAAAGAACTCGTCCATGTTGCTTGGCGTAGCAGGTGAGTGTTGACGCAAAATCTGATGAGCTGCAGGATGAGGGTGCAAATTCGAGGCAACTGGGTGATGTCCAGTTTGATAACTTGCAGGATGCTGTGAGGACTGCTGGTACCGCGGAGCTCCTTGCTGTAGATTATGTGCAGAGGGCGTTTGACTTCGAGCATTTCCGACCTGGCTCGCATGCATTCCCGCGTGCTGATGATGCACAGAGGAGGGTGCTGGACTATTTCGAGCATTGCCAATCTGACTTCCATGCATTCCTGTCTGGTGGCCATACTGAGAATTCGCTTGTTGCATGCCATGCTGTGATCCAACAGCATGCATGCCATGCTGTGATCCAACAACCTGCCCCCCGTATGACATATGACTTCCAATATTGCTGCTGTGGTCCCCAGCGTTGCGCCCGTATTGGGACTGTGTGTGCTCGACACCATATTGTGATTGTGATCCTATGTGATGAACGGATGCCTGGCTCCCGATGTAGCTTCTATTTTCTCCAGTCTTGTTATGAGTTGCAACGTGCTGCTGCGAAGAGACTGTTTGGCTGCTTGCATGACGGCCAAATTGCGACTGAGTTTGCGCTACGTCAAATTGAGATCCAGCGTGATGCACATGTGATGCGTGTCCTGCAAGATAACTGCTGTTGTCTCCACCGCTTGGCCTGTACTCCAAAGTTCCAACAGGGTCTCGCTGTGCATTGTGACCGTATTGTGAATAAGTCTGTTCCACTCCTTGCATAGACCCTCTATTCTGAACAGCTTGGTTCCCAATGTTGCTAGCATTTGATCCCTGAAACTGCCGCACTCTATCCTTTACCGAAACAGTAGTGGAAACATCAGCCGGCCAGTCTACACCCTGCAGATCTTCTGGTTTGAAAAGTTGTCGAGGATCCTGGTTGCCACGGTCTGGTTGCATGCGAGAAGGCTGTGGAGCTGTTCTACAATTCCGTTGGTTACGGGTGCCCTTGCCATCACCGGCAAACGTAGGTGTCCTGTGCAAAGCAGAATTTCTAGGAGCGCTTGTGGCGGCGTTTTTGGTTTTGGCTGACCGCGGAGTTGTCGGATTGGCATTGAATCTTTCGGGATCAGGATCAGGTTGATGTAGTTTCCCCTTAACGTAGCCCGACGAAGCCGTGGATGAACCCGAAGAGGTGTTTTGCATAAGATCATGCGGTGCATCGCGATCGTACTTATCAGGAGCATCTCTTTTGATCTGGCCTGGTGCATCCCTCTTATGATTCGAAGCATCAGGAGGCGGGTCTTGCTGACTGATTCTTCTGCCATTTTGGGCTTTCAATCCTTGAAGCAACGATTTAATCTCACTAATCTCACCTGCGATTGTTTGGTCGACGCTTGGCTCTTCCCCGGCCAAAGCTTTCCTCCGTTCGATGTCGTTTAGGCGATTGATTAGCGAACCAAGTTGCTCCTGATCGACACTGCCAGTCAGATTGTTGTTCATGATGTCAGTTGTCACGGTGGACATCGTGTCATCCTCTGACAAGAGACTATCGACAAGCGAAAGCTGTCTAGAACGAGCCATGGAAAACGAGGACTTTGCAGAAGGGACTGGCCCATCATACAGCATTCGAGAAGGATTGCGAGACAACGGCTGATCGTTTTCCGAAAACTGATCGTCTCTCAAGAGCGAATCATCTTCCGATTCAATCGAAAAGACAACCCCATCCATGGCAGGATTGTCTGGAAGGGAAGAACCCTTGTCGATAGCCGGCGGGTCGTCGTCGTAGCGACTGTCTTCATCCTGTTGTTTTGTACCGGTCGCTGACTTCGCTGGATGAGAAGATGGGAGAACCAACCCCATATGGCCGCTAGGGACAGCACCCCCGGGCCGTTTGTGTTTACTGTTGCCTTCACTGTGACTTTCCCAGTATTGCCGCAGATTTTCTCTCACTTCGCCGCTGCTATCGCTTGGATTGATGTCGACATCTGCATGGCTTGGGTCGTCATCATCTTCTTGCAATATGCTTCTATGTCGTTCCATTCCAATATTTGTTCTGGAGTGATTGCTCTTCGTTAAAGCCTCGACTTTGTTTATGTTGCTTTCCATCGGCGGATTGGACCTCGAATGGTTGCTACGTGGCTTTGTCTCACCATTGAATTGCGGCTGGGACATGAGCTTTTGTGATTCTGCTCTCTGCATGGCTCGCTTTTGCTGAAAGTATTCAACTGTCTTGGTAACATTTCCGCTTTCCTCGCGAGACGTTTCCGTACTAAGATCCTGTGCCTCAGATTCTACGTTTTGACCCTCAGTGGTAGCAGACCTTTCCCTGATTAAATTGAAGGCCGCAACCCCAATGTTTTGACCATCTGCATTCATCATTTCTCTGTATAACTCATCCTGCTTGTCGGTTGTAACAGTTTCAACAACTATCTCGTTTCTTTCACCTTCATCGTTGGTAGTACCACTCCCACTACATGTCAGTGAGTGTGAGACAGACTCGGGTTGCTTTTTGCCCTCATCTGAACCAGACGTTGAGACTGCCCCCTGTTGCTTTGGTGGCTCTGGAGCAGGTGATAATGTTGACAAGAGAGATTTCTTCATTTCTTCAATCTTCTGGGCCTGAGTGGTGAGCATGTCTGTGAATCGATCTTGGACGGTCTTCAACACGTCACTGTTGTCAGAGTTGACCTCTTGTATGCCCAGGTCGTTAGAGACGGATTTGCTATTCTCAGTGTACATCTCTGGCTGCTCATCCTGAGACTTTTCCAGGTGGGTTTCCTTTTTTGGAATGGGGCGCTCGGGTATCTGAAATTGTCGTGGCTGCGAAGCTGACCGTTCTCGCTGCCCCCTTATTGGCCTATCATGTGAAGATGATTGAACCCCTTCTCGACGCTCGTCTGAGGGACGAGCCTCACTACCATTTCCTCCAGCCACTTCATCCTGTGACGATGACTTCAAACATTGCCGTAGCTCGATGAGCTCGTGTTCATCGGTATAGAGTCCTGACGACTCACTACTGCTGGAAGGTCGTATCCCAATAAACATTTCATCCCCCGAACCAGACATGTATACATCAAAACCACCCTCTTCTTTTTCTTCGCTGCCTTGTGGCTTTACGGATTCACCTTCTGCGTTGCCACCAGATTTGACCGAGGTGGCTCCTCCAAACCTGCCATTTGTTCGTAGAATGCCTTTCAATGGCGTATCATTGCTGTCTTTTCCGGTAGCAGCAGACCTGTGGCTGGCACTTCCCCGCGACTTGTGCGAGACGACATCATTCGTTAGTACTGACTTTCCAGTGGTGGTGTGAGCAGATGGCGATTGTGGAACGGTCCCTCCTTTGGATGCCCGGGAACGTCTAGACTTGTGGGAAGATTGGCTCTTGGCATCGTTGCTGTGGCTTCCCTTGTTAAAGTGCTGTACAAATGCATTCGAGACGTTCTGAAACTGTCTTCCTTCGTCCAAAGCTTTCATGGCATTGTAGTATGCCTCTTCCGATTCAAAGGCGTCCAGATCAGATCGTTGGGAGAAAAGTCCTCCTCGTCTACCACTCATTTTGCCGCTTGTTCTAGATCGCTTGCTATGCAAACTGTCTCCTACACTATGTGTATCATGATGGCTTGATTCTACCCAGGATTGTATTTGAGGGTTGGTTAGTACATGTTGCGGTGTGCGAGCATGCTGTATTGTGTTGGTATCATCATAGAGCCCTTCGTCTTTTCCCGTAGTAACGCCATTTGTGAATTGTGTTCTTCTACGAGCTACGGTTCCTCCTGGCAAGACGCTTGGTTGCTGTTGTCGGTGATGTTGTGGCCTATTATGAAAGGGGTTCTGAGGTTCCCCCGAGTTGATGTACCCATTTAGTTTTCCTGCCCTCCCCATATTATGCTCCCCGCGATCTTCATTGTCCCCCTGATGTCTAGTAGTCCTTCTTGGATGATGTTTGAGCGTCCCTTCATGGTTTCGCTTGGCAGCGGCTTCATGACGAGCTGCCGTCGGCGTGGCAATGTGATTGAAGAGAAACTCAATATCCGAGCCTCCAATGGTTGGCTTGAAGGTTCCAGCTTGTGCCAAGAAGGCTTCTACTTTTTGTGCCTCTTGTAGCTTTTGTCTCAGTTCTCTATGTGTCGTAGAATTCACGGCGGGTACATTTTGAAGAGGCGATGGGGCCAACGGGGCCTGTGGGTTTTGCACTGTTTGTTGCTGTTGCTGTTGCTGTTGCTGTTGCTGTTGCTGTTGCTGTTGCGGGAAGGGAATTTGGTAGTGAGGAGGAGAAAATTCTTCGTCTTGTTCTTGTTGGTGCGACTGACGATCATTTCTTCCTCGTATCAGACCTCCGAGCAATCCTCTCCTCTTGGAGCTGGCTACAGATTGGGACGACGGCTTTCGGTTCTCTTGTTGTTCATCCTGGGTGAGACCGAGTACATGGGCATGGCGTCCGTCGCTTGCGTATTGTTGCTGAAGATGCTGTGGCTGCGTACGATGGGAAGACCGTTGAAACAGTCCCATCGTACAAGAAGGTAGGGTCGAATCCTATAGAACCAATACAAACAACAGGTCCTTCGACCACCATTGCCTTGTTGAGAAATTTCCTTTTTATTTTTGTCTTTTGTGGCCCCGTGGAAGTTGTCAAGTGGACGCCCCGCTGCTTTGGGAAACGGTGGGACGATGTCTAAGTAAGGTTGAGCCTGCCAGCGGTATTTTTTAGCGTGCACAATAAAACCGCAAAGTTGGCTAGACGCTTCATCGATCTTTCGGACCTTGAATACTCAGATATCCTCACCATTTTGCAATTCAAGGGACTTCAAGAGAGGGCAGGGGGAACAAGGCGAAGAACCAAGCTTTTTGAAAAGCAATTGAAGGTACAGTACCGCAATGCTCATTCTACAGCTTTGTGTAAGTCAAATCCCCTGTTCATCTCCACCAAGAGAACGAAGATTGAGGATGTGGACAGCATCAACCAGTACTGCAAGTGCTACTTCCTGCTACCAAATTTGGTTCTTGAACCACTAAATCTGTACAAGTTCTTCCAAAAGGCAGCTCCTCTAAGGATGCAGGTTGACCCTGTCGTGTTGTGGTTGGCTTCCTCCACAACGTGCGGGTGATAGGATCGACACTAACAGAGCACGCTCCAAGCGAGGTTTGCAACAGATTCATTCAGAAAAGTACGAAATAATGTATGTAATAAGGCAAATGCTATCTAACTAAGCATTACTGAGTGCACAAGCAATCAAAAGCCAAAAGCATTCATTGATTACCACTCTGGAGTACAGAAAAAGCCAACCTGTGGGCACTTTAGAATTCTAATGTGATAGAATTCTGTGATCACAGCTTCGTCGCGTGACAGAAACAGGGGATACTTCGTTTCTTGGATCAAGCACACGCAGCAGTGCTCGTTTGTTGACTGACGACTCGACAAGGAGCAATTACAAAACCTGCTCAATAGGGGAACGTTCCACGGGGGAAGTATTTCTTCCTCCAGCGACTTCTTCGAAGCTGACTTGTGTAGTCAGGGTGGATTCGGGTCACTCGTTCCCCAATCTTTGGCTTGACGTTGATTAGCTCACCGCATTGCGGTGTATCTTCGTAGTAACTTCTGTCGTCCTCGCATTCCGATGCTGTGAAATTGCCTGCTGTTGAGTAGCTTGCACTGCTTCCAATGTAGTTCGTGCTTCCGTCAGAAGACTTGTCGGATCCTGTATACGAACTAGACACACTTCGAGACGTCGTCCTGCCCTTGGGTGCTTCCCAAGTCTTGTACCATTCTTCCGTCCATTCTTCGGGGTGTGGCTTGTTCTCCATGGGCATTTCCATGGACTTGGGATGAGCCACTCTTTCTTTGATTCTTTCGTTGCCACGAGTCCTTTGGGCTTTTCCTAGGATCGCGAGTGACAGATTTGACAAGAAGTTAGCAACACATCCACGGACCAAACGAGCGCTCCCTTGCATTGTCACAAAAAATACACTTACCAAACCAATTCTTTGAGAAGCTAATGCTGTGTTCGTGCAAGAAATGCTGTCTCACATCCCGACTTTCCCATGGTGCCGAGTCAAGGTGATGGGGTCGCACCGCCCCCACGGCAGAGGAATTAAAAAGGGAAAAGAAATCGACATCAAAATAACCTGGGTGGTCCTTCGTCCTCTCTTTGTAGATCGACTTCCAAACCAATGTCGGTGGTATAGGGTTTCGTCGACGTCCGCCTCTTCGCTTCACAGTCCTACTCAAGAGTTTTTTCGCCGCTGCCACCCCATTGATAGCCTTCGGTGTCTCAACAGTGACGAAACTCAATTTGCTTTGAATACCACTGGCTGTCCGCGTCAGCCACGACGTTGGGTTTTGCGTCTTTCTCGTCGCTAGGTCCCGTTTACGCAACCACTCGTCGTTGTCGCTTTCATAGCTCAGAGATCGATATGCTTCCAGCAAGGCTGGTGACGGATTGGCATCGTCAACACCATCGTCGCCAGGGAATTTGTCCTGCATTTCGTCGACCATGGAGCCAGATTCAACAACAATTGGGTGTTTGGATGACGATCCTAAGCTTTCCTCATCATCAGCGGAGCTACAGCTGGACAGAAACGAGCTTGAGTGGCCTCCGTGAGACGTGTGGTCTTCGTCATCGTCTTCGTCATCATCGGATATGGTGTCCAGCTTGGGGCCAACCGATGAGTGGTTGTCGTCGCTTTCCGACGATTCTTCGATGGACACGTAGCGTCCTTCGACAAGGCCCCCATCCTCGTCTTCTTCTTCCCAAGTATTGGGATCTTGACTCAATTCGGGCGCCAGGGACTTCTTCACAAAACCTACATCTAGGTCAACTTCTACGTTGTCCGTGTCTTCTTCCTTCTCGTTGTCTGCGATGGAACCAAGCGCCTTGATATCCAAACCCGGCAAATGTCCCCCTTGCTTCAAGTTCGTCATTCGTGAGAAGTATGCAGAGATGTTTTCCTCCTCGTTGACTTCTTCGATGAAGTCAAAGCGCTTGTTTTGGTGCATTCGGGGTGTCGGGTCGTCCCGAGGTGTCTGGATGTCTCGCGACGCTGAGGTTGCATCAGCTTCTTTTGTGTTCAAAGGCTCAACTTGGGGTCGAGAAGTTTCGTTCTGCACCTTCTTGTCGCCCACAGTTGGCTTTTCCCATGAACTCAAGTCAAGGGACTCCTCCTGCAATGATCCGAGGTCTACAGGGTTCACCCAAGCATTTTCTATCCCTTCCTCGACTGTCCCTTCATCATCTCCCAAGTCCGTTAGATCGACATCCCAACCTTTGCTTTGCCCCGGGCTTGTAGGTCGGACGTTGTGGTCGGCATCTGGGTCGATTGCAACGACACGCTCAGATACCTCGGTATCGTTCCTTTCGTCGTCCTCCTGGATGACGACCTCGAATTTTTCTGTTGTAAAAGAGCTGTAGATTTGGCCTTTTGGTGAAATACCGGTACCACTTGGGGCATCAATCGCCTGGATCCAAGTTGTCTGCTCAGGGGGGTCAGTAGCTGTGGTTGCATTGTTGTCACTGGAACCTGTAGGTGATGTGACCCCTTTCGTTGTACCTTGCATTTGAGAAGACTTGGTATGAGCTGGCACTGCTAGTCCCAATTCTGCCGACGAAATCGATTTCATATTCACAACATCTCCCGTCATGGAACCTGATTGGCTGGCAAACTTCAAGAGATCAGGGGGGTGAGGGGCCTGCAAACGGCGCCGTCCTGCTGCCTTCTCTTGCAAATCAGTTCGACGCAAACGGGTAACCTGGTCACTTGCAGGCAAAGTTCTTTCTTCATTAAAGTCATCGCCGGGTCTATGGCTGAGAGGAGATATCGAGCGTTCGACTTCTTCGCTACATGTATGAACTTGTGCAGTCGCTTGTGGCATTGCAGTCGCTTGTGGCGAACTAGTCGCTTGTGGCGTAACAACCTCTTCTTCTATGGATACAGGCAAAGGCCACGTTTGCATCTGAGACAAGCTTTTCTGTATCTCATCAGGCGGCATGTCTTCGACGGTTTCACAGAGCTTCGATTGTGGCTTCTCGATAGGTTTCTTCTTTTCTCGGAACACACTTTGTTCCTCTTCGTCTGATACACCATGAGATTCGGGGACTCGTTGGTTTCCAGAACTTCTTTTGCCCTCATTCAGGTGATTTTTGTATGAACTTTCGAATGCTCCAGTGCCCGCTGCAACCGTTGCGGCTACTTGCAGTGTTTCACCTTCTGCTTCGATTTCTCTGGCCGAATGATATGAGGAGGAACCACCGGACGAATCGTTTGTTTCGCGCTCTGCTTTGGAATGCGATGTCTTCTCTGTGTCGTTCGTAGTCCTTTGCCTGTGCTCGTCATGATCCTCGTCGCTGGTAGAACGATCGGCGGAGGTGACCGCTTCGTTCTCTTCGGGTAGTGGATGGCTTTGGCTTGCATAAACATCCGAAGCGAACGAGTTCTCGCGGTCCTTGGCAGGGAAGGAGTGTCGGTCTTGCTCTCGAGGTGATAAATGGCTTCGGCTTTGATAAACATCTGAAGAAAACGAGAACTTGGAGCTCTTAACGTCGAAGGAATCAGGTCTGTAGCGCTCTCGGGGTGACGGGTTGCTTTGGCTTGTGATGATTTCCGACGCAAAAGAGTATTCGGAGTGCACACCTTCGACTTGACGAGACTTATTTTCACGTCGATGCGCTTGACTCGCATTACCTGTTGGCGATCCGTTCGACGCTTTGTTCTGGCCGGCAATTCTGATGGGCTGCTTGCAAGAGAATATGCTGTCGAGTGAGGCAAGCCAATTCGTCGAAGTGGTTGTCGGAGCTGATATGGCGCTTCCTTCTTCATTTTCTTCGTCAGTTGAAAATTTTCTCTTGAGTCCTTTCCGAAATTTGTTGCGCTTCTGACCAGGGCGTTTCTCCTTACCGACGACAGCCGCTTCTGTTTCGTTCTTGAAGACTTGGCTGGATATTGGTTGTGACGACGCTGGCTGAAAGTCATATTTGACAGAGATGCATTGTTCGGAGGCCACACTCTTTCTATCGTCGACAGACTCGTCGTTGTCAGTGAATATGTTATCGGACTGGCCCATTTGACTTCCAGAGATGTCAGTGGCTGTATCCTCGCCCATGTCAGTTAGCAGAGATGGAATACGTCCGTCTTGTCGCTCGAGTTCCTTGACTTTCTGACTTATCACTCCAGCACCACTGCTGTTTGCACCACTGATGTTTGAATCAACAAAGTTCTTGACCTCATCTAACGTCAACTTGATAAGAGACAACCCAGCTTCTTTTCGGTCCCCGGCCATCTCCGCAACGTCGTTCTTTTGCGCAAACAAGAGCGATTGCATCGGATCCCTGTCGTCTTCGGATTCAGTAAACATCTCGCCAAGTGGAGCGTTAACGAGGGCCTCGAGCGAATCTTGTTTGCTGAGATCCTTGTCTTCGCGGCTTCCTTTCGCCACGTCTTCATCTCCAGAACCTGCGTATTCACCAGGAGGGTTGATACTCCCAAGTGACGCCGCCTTCATGACGCTGTTGGGGTCCTTTGTTATACGCCCGGTGGCATCGCGGTCTTGTTCTTTGCTTCCGTCTAAGATATGACTGAATTCTCGTCCAGAGGACTTGTTGCGGCCTGTTTCGCCGTCAGATCCATCCTCTCCGTCGCTCTCCACCGTGACCCCAAAGTCAAAGGCCCGAGAACCTGCCTTCGAAGGCGACTTGCGGGGGCTGTCGTCCGTCATCAACAGCAATTCTTCGACTATCTGTTCTTCTGACATACGGTTTAGGTCTGACTTCATCCATGCCTTCACGAAGCTCTCCTCCGCATGAAGGTCTGGCACGAAGCTCTCCTCCGCATGAAAATCTGTGCCATCGGCGTCGATTGCCTTCTTTGAGGAAGCACGGGAGCCAGAAGCCTTTGGGGTGATGGCGGATTTTGTCTCCTTGCAAATATCTCCACTACCTACTGCGGTCAGGTCAACAAAAAGGGGTGATGCCTTCGCTGCCGCACTCGGGGAAATTACAATTATGGGAGTCAACTCTGTGCCTCCGCCCCGAGGGGGCTTTGATTGTTCTCGTTTTGCAGCCTCTTGAGTGTTGATGCGGAGGGCATTCACCTTGAGACGTCCTTCCTTCGCTGCCGCCTCGATCTCCTCGGGATCTTCAACGTTGATAACCTTGAGGTCTTGAGGCTTTGGAGGGCCACGTTGTCTTGGGCTGGATGCCTTGTCATTTTTTGGAGGTCTGGTGCGATGTTTTGAAGCAGATCTCTTGCCCATGACTTCCGCTAGTTTGTGTCGCGTTGGAGAGCTTTTGGGATCTTTCAAGTTGGACGTCGTATCAACCGTATCAACCGTAGGTCCGGCTTCATGCGTTGGGCTTGGCTCCAACTGCTGACCGGGGATGTCTGTGTGTGATCCGGTGGTGGAGATGGTGGACGAGGACGGCACCCCCTCCTCTGGAGGATCTTCCCTGGATCGCGTTTCTCCGTCACTCCTGCCTTCTGGAGGAGGGTCGGCCCTTCTCTTCGATGCACTTGGAGCCCTTGGTTTACTTGTGGGTGTACTAACATTCGGCAGCCCTTGGAAAGACAAGTCGCCTGTTGACGGGTCAATCTGCAACCTTGGCTTTGAAGTAAAGCCCGCAGGCGAATTTTTCTTTTCGACGCAATCCTCTGCTGCTAAATCTCCGCGAATCAGGCAGATCGGGTCGTCCTCTTTCGACAGAGCCGAGCTGCCACTTGATACAGATATGTGCGGAGTTGTTTCAGAAGAAGCGTCCTTTACAACGATAACATCCTCTGCTGATGGCTTCTCTTCCATGACAGCCGGAGAAGTTGCATCCTCGACAACAACAACAACAACAACATCGTCCTCTGTCGCTGGTGTTTCTTCGTCTTCCACCGCAGTCGGAGAATCTGCATCGTCATCCTTGTCATCGGTGTTATTGAGCTCTTTCTCTCGCTTTTCTGCCTGGATGGCAATGTTGTTCAGTAGCATTTCCATTTCACGCCACGTTGGGTCATTGCCAGGTAGTGACGACGATAGGCTGGTAAACTCTGCGAATGTTGCTTCGCTCTTTGCAGTCGGAACAGTATCAAGTACCTCCTTCATTTTGCTGCCAACATCTTCCTTCTTTTCCGATTGAAACTTCTTTTCCTCCAGACCGACGCATCTGCTTCTGGGAGTGATGGGCTCGTCAAACATAGTTGCAAGCGCCGCAGCATCCAAGTCATCGTTCAGAGAATGCTGCTGATGCACAGACTCCTCGTCCTCGTCCGTCTCGCCAAACATTGTGGCAAAAGCGCTTAAATCAAAGTCGTCGTCATATTCAGAATGGGATGGTTGTTGCTCGGCTTCGTCTTCAGCGTCCCCTTCCTCGGGTGGCAAAAGAGTCAAGATTGGAGAAGGTCTCTTTGTTTCTTTGTTCTTTTGCTCCACCCTGTCAATGAACGCCGAAATCTCTGATAGGATCGCAGGATTCTGTGGAGTTTCGAGGCTGCCATCTTCGTCGAAGGTACTATCTGAGTCGAAAGACCTGCTGCTTTTCTTTTTCTTGAGCTCATCTTTATCAGTCATCCTGAATGGAATAGACCTGTTGGGAGGATCGTTGTTTCGCCTGAGACCCGAGGGCTTGTGGATTGATTCCACCCTTGGACGTTCCTTCGATGACGACTTCGATGCCAACGGGCTTTTCTTGGTCTTGACTCTTTCATCCGCTCTGTTCTTGTCTCTTGTTGTATCCGACTTAGCCTCCGGTGGCAGAACTTGGATAGGAATTTGTCTACTAGCGGTGCGCGTGTCAAACGAGCTGGCGGAGACAGCACTGAGGAGAGCTGCAAAACTGGATGGCTTGGACCTTGGCGTTTGTGGATCCACTACTTCTTCCACTTCCGGTGTCTTGACGCTCGCCATGTACATTGATATTGCAGGGCTTTTCCTTTGAGGTTCAAATGGATCGGTACGATGCATGATCGAAGAACGATAATCCGTGACAGAGGAAGCTGGCTTGGATGCATAGGTTGCCTGCGAGTCAAACTCCTGGTTCTCGGCAATATATATACGCCCTTTATCCCGCATCTCGTTTCTATACACCTTTCTGTTCCACTCACGGTCAGAAGAGGGCCGTTGCGAGGGTTCCCTCTCTTCAATTTCCGCCCCGTGCGATGACGACGTTTGATCTCGACTCTCAGCTTCTTCGGCAATGGCTGCATTTGAGTCAATCGTTGAGTCGTCCAAGTTTCGTTTGTATACATTAAGAAAGGAGTTGTTCCCTTTCTCGCCGCTCTCGCTACGTTGCATTTGCTTTTCTTTTGCAGTTGGCTTTGTCACTGTGTCGATAAACTGGGAAATCTTGGCAAGAGTTTGGGACGTGGCTTGGATATCTCGCTCAATGTCGGTTGAAACCTTGAGGGCTGCATCCATATCATCCTTGTGAGACTTGAGATTACGTTCTCTACGGTAACGCCCAGGGGTATGCTGCTTACGATGTCCTGATTCTTTGCCAACTGAAGAACGGCCATTTCCATAAGAGGCGACCGTCACTAGGGCTTCCTCAATCGACTTTTTAGAGAACAAACCTTCCTGTCCACTGCTGCTGCTACTGGCTCTGTTGGGCTGAGGCCTGCCCTTAGAGTTCTTCGGCGGATGCTGCGGTTGTGCCTTTCTGGCTCGATTCTTTCGCTTCTCAGAGGCAATCGCAGTGGCTGCAGCAGCTCGAGGAGTCAATGGAGGGCCGCCAGAAGACGTGATGGACGTGTTGGACGAAGATACCTCTTTTTCAACTCGCTTCGATCTGTTCCGAATGGCGCTAGCTTGTTCTCGCGATTTCTTTGCCGCTGCCGCAGCTGCAGCACGCGGGGTTAATGGCCTATCGGGACGATCGCTGCCTTGCTGATTCTTGTGAATCGCCTTGTAGAGGTGGTCTGCAAAGTTGCTTGGTTGTTGATTCTTTTTGCCGGTCTGATGCTGGGTTGGCGGAGGTTTGGCAAGTCCACCACGTCCATCAGCAGCGCGTGATGAAAACGCATTAAGCAGAAAAGGTTCCTGGTTGCTACCGCCTGTTGCAGGAGTTTGTCGTTGTTGTTCTGCGCCTCCATCGACGGGAATCGTCAGACTAAGTTCAGGACGTTCGTTATCACCCGGCTTCTTCCTTGACGATTGCACCATGGCAATGGCTTTTGAAAGCTTGTCGCGAGTGGGCACTCCGGTCTTCTTGTCTCGTCTCCCCACCATGAGAATCGAATCGATCAGACTGTTCAATGAATCAAATCAGCGTCTTTTTCGCCGCCCCCGTCGTTGCTTGATCGATCCTTTGGATCAGCGTTCCTGTTCCGGTATCTTGCCGCTCCTTTCTGCTACTAGCTTCTTTGTCGATCACTCCTGGGAATCTTCAGAATGCTGGATCCATCCAATTACAGTAGCATGGATCGCTCAGTACGAGTGATTCCCATCGCTATCTTGGCAGGTCTATCGCTGCCCTTCGGGCTTGCTAGCTCGGGGTTCCTCATCCCATTCCTGTCGATTTCAGCGATTTTGTGAGTGCTTCGTCATGCGCGTGCCTCTCCTGAGGGCTCTTAAGTAGTGTGCGGGCACAAGCTTTCCCACACAAAATCTGAACAAAGGGTTGGGGTTACTGACCCAACAAACGATTTCACAGAGCTTTTTGCTTTTTGCATTGCATGCATGCACTCCAGCAAGGCTCTCTGGGTGGCTATCGCTTTCAGATGGAAGGAACAGGCGATAACACTACGGATGGTACCCCTCAGGATGTCGACGGTGATAATGGTGATACCTTCCAATGGACTCCAGTTGCGGTTGTTCAGTCGGTGGCAGTTTTCTGCGCCGCTGGCGTCTGCGAGATTCTTGGGGGATGGCTGGTTTGGGTCGCTGTTCGAGGCCAAGGAGGCAAAGGCAATCGAAAGCCGTGGTGGTATGCCGTCTTGGGAAGCCTTCTTTTGATCACCTATGGATTTGTCCCCTGCCTACAACCGACGGATAGTTTCGGGAGAATCTATGCTGCTTATGGCGGTTTCTTTATTGTGCTCTCTTTCCTCTTTGGGTGGGCGTTGGACGGAGACAGACCTGATCTTGGTGACATTGTGGGTGGAATCATCAGCTTGGTCGGTGTTTGTGTGATTATGTTTTGGCCAAGAGCTTGAAGCGGCTGCTCGACACACTTCTATTGCAATTCAACAGCCCGTTGATTGCCTTCCATCGCTTGGAAGATGTGCCGACCACTGCCAATTTCAACCACAAACGACCCACGATCTTCACGCAGAACATGGGGCACCCAGGAAACATTGGAAAGGACAATTCCATTGTGCTTGATACTCATCGAGCGTTCTGCTGGAATGTAAACTGTCGCCTTGCAATTGGGGGGAATCGTCACGTTGAGTCCCAGGGGCTTTCCACTATGGGACAATTGTCGTTTCCACGAGACCCGTGTCACACCACGCGGACTTTCAAAGGATGCAGATGCATGATGAAGCTGGGACGGAGGGTTTGGTTTTATCAGTACATGGTCCATCCCTCTTGCAGATGGATGAGGTTGTATACCGGCTACTGTCTGTAACAGCCACACTTCGGTGGAGCTAAACATTGGATGATTGTGCGAGTCCTCGGAGAAATGAAAGGTCTCCCAAACCGTTGTAGCATTGGAAAACGGATTGTTCGTCATCCACCGGATTCCAGGGTAACTTCTGGTTGTTACCATGTCATAGGCAAGATCATTCTCCCCTCCGTCGGCTAGTGCCATGAGGATCCACTTGACCCCAAAGAGGCCTCCTGTGATGTGCGGGCCAGGTCCTCCATGGGCACTCTGACAACCAGGGGGCTTCTTCGACTGGCCACGATATCGACAAGCACCCTTCAAATGAGAGGCCTTGCGAGCACTTGTCATCAACTGGTGCAGTGCCTTGCTTCTTAGCGAGTTGTCGTCTGACAAGAAACCGTGGAACAGTGCCATGCTTTGCCCTGTTTGCGTCGTCGTCCGGTTTAGTGGCTGTCCCTTGCTGACTTTGTACGCCCCGGTGCCATCCAGAAATCGAGAATTGATGTTGTGCACGAGCTCCGCAGCCTTTTGACGGTACTTTTTTGCCACGCTAGGAGACATACCCAGGATTTCCGTGATATTTGCAAAAGCAAGATAGGACATGAACTGAAAGCCTCTACCTGTGAAGGCAACGTCAGTTTCATCAACAGCTAACCAGTCGCCAAGGCCGTCCTCGATTAGCTTCTGATCAGAAGTGTCCAGTAGCTTTATGTAGGCGAGCGTGTGATTGTAGCTTTCTTTCAACGTCCTTGTATCGCCATAGTATTTGTAAAGCCACAAAAGTGCTTCAGGTTGAAATGCTTGCCAGCCAATGGGACCCGTCTGATGCCCCAGGCCATTATCATGAATGCCCACGTAAGGAGACGTCTCGGTGAAGCCATCCAACGCCCCCGAAGGAGTTTGCGCCTGGGCATCATTATAGTCCAATACCCGCTTTCTATAGAATGCCGAAAAATCATAGATGGACAATCCAACCTCTCCACACCCCAGGGCGTCCCCGCCATAGCCAAGCCGTTCTCGGTGTGGACAATCACTTTGGAGACTCATCATGTTGGATTCGTAGGTATTCTTCACAACTTGTCGCAAGTCAGATAACCAGGGATCACTGGAAGAAAAGTTTGCCACCAAATCCACGTCGGTTCTCATGGTGAAACACCGAATGGAAACATCCTCTAACCTCACCGATGAAGGGGTGGTGACTTCAATGTATCGAAATCCGTGCCATGACCACGAAGGCGTCCACTGGACAGCTTGCGCACCCAAAGTTAGCGTGTCTCCCTGGTAGGCAACGTCTGGTTGGCAGGGAACCTTGGGATTCCTCTGCTTCTTGATACCACCAGCTGCAGAGGTGTAGACATTCAAGCTCCCATCGTGGGTTAGCAGCTCACCATAACGAAGTTTGATTGTTGTCCCAAAGGCTTCAGGACCCTGCTCTTTTACGCTGATTTGGCAGGAACCCGCGTGGTTCACCCCAGTGTCAATGATACCCACAGTTTCCCCGCTTTGTAGGAGATTGGTGGAGACAAGTGTGGATGGCAACCATTTCTGTTTTCGAATGGGTGGTAATTCCATGGCTTCCAGCCGACCCAATCCTGATACGTTAGCCTTTACCACTGCTTGCCACTTGGCTGTAGATTGCTGAGTACTAACCTCCTCTCCCGACGACACAACAGTATAGTTTGTGGTAGTCCAACCACGATACAAGTCCTCGAATAGAGCATTGTACTTTTCACCAAGGTAGATGTTGTTGAAGGTCGTAGGAGATCCAGAAGCCAGCCAGGGCGAGGATTGCCCGGACTTACTGTCCAAAAGCTGCACGGTAGTGCCATCCGCCTGGAATCCAACGATACGGAGCCGGAACATGGGCCGACTGGAGGAAATCCTTTGATGCATCACGATGCTTTTGCGTAGATTAATGCCTTGCCCAAAAAAGAGTAAGGGAATAGGGTTCCACCATCCGTTGCCAAGCTCCACGCCCACCACATGTTCTTGCTCATAATGGTTACTCCCATCGAGTTGGAGAAGAGAAGTCACGTCATATGCAGAATAGAGGACGCGTTTAGAATAGGTGGTCCAACCAGGATCCAAGAGGGAGTCGCCCACCTTTTCTCCATTGATGTGCAAATGGTAGTATCCCAAACCTGAAATATAGGCCCTTGCTTGGACGATTGATTTGGGAATGTCACTCAAGGACGCCCGGAAACGGGGCACTTGATTCTCGTCATTCTCGGCCATCATTTCACACAAACCAGTGGACGGTGGTAGCGGTCCATAGCGAGCAATCCATTCCGATTTCCCCCAGGAATCTTCACCCAGAAGTCCAGTCTCGAACCACGGATCTTCTTCTGTGGACGGACATTCTTGATCATTTTCATCCCAGACCTGGACATGCCATCGAACACGTTGGAGCGACTGCAGTGGCTGGCCATTGTATTCAATCTGCAGTGTTTCTCGGCTCGGCAACTTGCCACTATCCCATAGCACGGACTCGTTATCACGGTTTCGATTGTAGCAGGTCAACCGATATGCTGTCTGATGATGGTCCACGCCCAGTTCGTTCCTTGGCGGCTCAGAGCCGCCACTCTCAGCAAACGCCAGGGCCCACGAAAACACTGGTGTTCCGCCTGCAATTGCCAACGGATTTTGAAGGTTGTTGGTTCGAAACCTCGTTGGCGTCAACTGGCAGGCAGTGCTACCTCCAATGCCCAACAGGGCTAAGGCTGATAGAGAGTACACGCCCACTTGAACCATCGTCTAGCTAGAGAATAGAAGGTCAAATACTTTGTTGTTTAGTGGCATGTGGTATGCCTCTCCGACCGCTGTCTTGTGTGCGTCTTCCTATGTACTGTAAATGTTGTACTGAGCGCGAATCTTTGGAGTGCTTTGCTTCGTCGCTTCGCTAAAAAGCCTTTGGCATGAGCTTCGATGCAATCCAGAAAGATGCCGGTAAAGGTGGTGCTGAGCTGAACAACCACAGTTGGGAGCCACTATTAATAGCTAGGTCTACTAGGAGGTAGCTAGCCAGTTGGGAGCCACTAGCTAGGTCTAGGAGGTAGCTAGCCATACATTGAATCAGCTAGCTGCACGTTGGGATCTTGTTGTTCAACTTGTGAGTTTTACAAGTAAGAGCTTACACAAGTTTGCAATTACCGGAAGTACACTGTACCAGTACCGTACTGTTGCTCTTCCACTTAGCCAATCGAAACAGACATCAAAACATTACACAACCAACGAGAGTAACCATTCACAGCAATATAATGTCTCACACGTCCTTGTTGGGAACTTTCGACTCGCCTTGACCAGGGTATTTGCCCAGCGTCACCACCTTCGTGGCCACAAACCAAAGACAAATGCATGCGGCTCCCCACTGCATCAGAACGAATTGGAGGTCGTCCAGAGTCAGGGGATTCTGGTAAAGAAGCAGAGCTTTTGAAAGTCGCCATTTGTAGAAACGAGGCAAGGGATCTCCCGACGACCAGATCTTGTCAAGACACAAGGAAAAGGAGTTGACAAAAGGCATGAAGAAGGCACAGCAGATCTGAGCCAAGAGCATTGGAACCGATGGGATTGCATCCCAGGGACCGAACTTGTCCAAGACACACTTTGCCGCAGCTGGATTGGCCCCCACCCCCTGCGTTCGAAAGAAACAAGGCCAAAGAGGAAATGTCCAATACTTGACCATATCCACTGGATTGTTCAACGGGATCCTTGGGCTGCAACCAACCAGTTTGGCAACGGATATCATGTAGGCTGGGTAATCCACCAGGAGGTGGAAGTTCGGCGACTGGTGATAGCAAGCCTGTTCGGCTGCTCCTTCCATCAGAGCAAGATCAGCATAGTTGGCTGGTAACTCAAGACTCGCGCCAGGACGGTTGAGCTGAGCAATGTACCGAGAGATGAGCTCGGCGCATTGGGGTATGCCTCCACTGTGGGGCCTTGCGAACCCAACGAAGGCAAGGTGTTGGCCAAAGTTTGGAGGGAAGCAATGCTTGAACCAGCTTCGTGGATTTGGGTTCAATGTCCGACGGCCGGGGTCTGATGTGGTGATCCAATCAAAGTCAAGGCTGTAGCCGGTGCAGGCAACGATGACATCAAACTCCCGATCGAGCGTATCTGGAGCTTGTCCCTCAAAGCCATTTCCATACAAGGAAGGGCGATGGAACGACACAACGTTGCCATTGCAGGAAACGGTAGGGGTGACGACAATATCCAGCGTGCCCTTGGAGGCGGCTGTGATGGCGACGGCTGACTTGGTGGGAACCACACTTGAATCCGTTGCAAAGAAGTCCGCACTCCAGGCTCGTGAGTTGATCTGGTAGCAAATATCCTGAGGGCTGTTCTTGCCGTGGACAAAAGATGTACTCAACACAACGGCTTGCAAGAAACCTGAATACGGGCCTAGTGGCACCATCCCAGTTGCATGAGAAGTAGACGATGCCTCCAACAGATCTTTGGGCTTGTGTGTCTCAGACATCCATTTGTTTTCATCGTAGTTGCCGTCCTGAAGCCCCTTCTCGACGAAACGAGGGGCAGTGTCCCAATGCCGTCGTCCGTACAAGGTAACTGATTTGGCAACGTTGGATGCCGACCTGGCGACGTCAGCTGAGCTTTCGCCTGTGCCAACGACAAGTACTCGTTTTCCCTTGACTTGATCTGCAGAGTGATACTCAGAGGCGTGCATTATACCGCCTTGAAAGTTCTTGAAAAGGTCGGTGTTGGGAATGTGGGGATGGTGATTGGCCCCTGCTGCCACAATGAGGTAGTCAAAGCAACGGGTAGAGGTGTCGTTTTCGTTGCTGGTCATAGACACTTCCCACATAAGCTTATCTTCGTTGAACAAGGCACGGTTGACTGTCGTCTGGAGTTGAAGGTGTTTCTTCAGCTGAAAGGCATCCACATAGTCAGTGAGATAAGCGAAGTATTCGGCTTGAGACCAGAACTTACAGCCGGTCGACTTGGGCGGGAAGTCTGAGAATGCCATGTACATGTTGGAGATGGTGAGATGCAAGTCTTCGAAGGTGACATTCGAATCAGATGAGAACACGCCACCAAACTGAGAACGAGAATCAACAGCGACAGCTTCCAGCCCAACTTCTCTCATTTCCTTCAGAGCTGCCAGACCCGAAGGACCTGCTCCAACGATCAGGACGCTCTTGGTAGTCGCAGACATCGTGGCCTCTTTCTGAAGCTGAAAGATCAAAGTGATAGAATTGTGAGCAATTCTAGAGGTATTGTTGAATGTCAAAAAATTGACTCGACTTCAATTCATTGGAAAAGTACCGGTATGCGACAAAGTTTCGCAGGCCTTATTACTCCGCTGATTAAGTTGAGAATTCTCAAACCTACTGGATTCTACACTCATCTAAAGATCAAGTTGAGAATTCTACTTTCACCCTAACCCAAACCATCCGACTGATTCAAGAATCCTGACTGCTCCTTCTGAGGAGTTATCACCTTTTTCAAAATTCTCAACTTTATCCTGGGTGTATGGCATACTATTAGACTAATAGTAGCTTGGGTGTCAACCAAAAATAATGTACCGGTGGCGTGTAAGCTGACGCGTCCTGTACCGGTACAAAATGATGTCGCAGTTGTCGATGGATGGGAAACGCTACACTCCTAACTTAATAATAAAATCTCTCATGTAACTTGGAGTCAGTAGCTAAGACTGGGCTAATAGAATGGTCGGCTTTTCGGTTGGACAAGTACGAAGACGCTCGAAAAATCTTTTGAGTCTTGCTTAATAAAGTAGAATCTCAGCTATTCATAGATGTATACATTGGTATGATCCGACAGGTATAAGTTAACTTACTTTATTAATTACAAAACCACAAAGCACGATGACATCGGGTTGAAGCCATGTTCCGAACTCTGTTTTCTCCGACTTCAAGATCCAACGAAACCGACGACGGACAGAAAAATGACCTCCCTTCTTATTAGCCCAGTCTTAGCTGTAGATCTACTTGGAGCTTTCTTACCCCACTGCTCTATTTTGCTACGCTGTACTATTTTAACTCTAACAAAACAAGATAATTTCAGTATAGAAGACTTTCTTACTAAGCTTCTGGATCAAACGGGTTAGTGTCAGTGCACCGGGCCTTTGGGTCAAACTTGCTCAGGATTCTTCATTGGTTAGGATCAAGTAAAATGCCAATCGGTGTCTCTCCGCCAGGCAGAAATTTTTGCAGATTTAGGCACATGTTTGGAGAATTTTTCATGGTTTGTCAGACTACTGGGTACTAGTATTAAAATAGATAGTATTCTTTGTGCTTTGAGGTTTCAATCTCACTTGTGTCATGGTATGGATGTGATTTGGGTAGCCCGCTGTTGACTGCTCTTACAAGTCTGTGATATTTCAGATTTAAAAAGTTTCTTGTGAGTCCAGTGTCAGTCTCAACTGTTTCTGAAATCATAGAGACTCGCTTTCTTATATTAAGGTTTGGAGTGTAAAATGTTCACCGATCTTGTCAATCCGAGATTTAATCAGCCGAACAGAATGATGGCGTACTTGTCGATGATTTGGAAGTCATCATTCAGAGATTTAAGCACCATACCACCCACAACATTCCACCAAGCCGATCCCCCACATGTTTATTGGCGCCGAAGAAACACAGCACTCGTACCTGGTACCGGTACCGATACGATGTACCAGCCGCTACAGTACGAGTAGACTGGTACCGTGGTACGGGTTCAATTACCGGAAGAAGGGTTCGAATCAGAGCCACCATCTGCGACCACGGACTGCTCATGTCTAAGATCGGATGGACTTTTTTGGCAACCATTCAATACTTGCAATCCAGCCCCCCCAAGAGGTGCGAGGCTTCCTCAAAGGTGTACATTGAGCAGCGAAGTCGTTGCCGGGTTTTTGTCTCTGCAAAGTAACAGTCTACTAAGGAAATTCGTCATGAGTTGTTTATCTAGGCAGTCCGGGAGAATTCATGAGAGCTTGGACTTCTGATCGCATCTCTTCCTGTCCTTTCTGAAAATCCTCTGACAGTGCTGTGCTTGATCCTCCTTATCCTGTCACCACATGGCCTGAACAGAGTCTTTGCTGCGTTGCGCAGTGGAAGACCTACTTTCCCGTTGAGGAGATCTTTTAGTAGCACTTCAGATGTACAATAACAACGTATTGCCTAATAGTACTGATATAACTACAGAATAGATCAGCTTGTTCTAGCTGGAACCAACTTTCAAAGGAAGGCCAGCACGTCGAGATACCGCAGGACAACTGGTGCCTTTGCCATGTAGTGGTCGTCGACAACCTTGCCAACAACCATCCAGATACCCGCTCAGCCACGTTTCTACCATGCGGATTGCCTTGCCAACTCAGACCGGGTTGGGTTCGCGAGGCCATGAGGATTGTACACTCTTTGTAGCGGAGGGAGGAGAGGTGGTGACCTCGGATGTAGGAGCGTTTGTTGCCATCACGTAAGTCTCCATGACGGTTCCGTCCACTGTGCCACCCATTGTAGGCTCTATGGATTCCATACCCGATAAAATGACGGAACCATCATCAAATGGTGGAGCAATAGCGTCACCGTCATCACCATCACTGTTTCCTGGGGCGCCATCACTGTTTCCTGGCGGACCATCGCTGTTTCCTGGAGGAGTAATGGGTACAGCAGCCAAAATCGTACAGGTCCATCTCGCGACAGGAGGGATGACCGTCCCCGTCGAATCTAGCAGGACCCCACTGGAGGATGCCGGTGGGGTATCGGCTGTCATTTGGCGAATTGGTTCGACGGGGTCCAGTACATCCCCTGCTTCAATGTAGGTTGTTCCAGACAAGGTTCCAGCAGTGTACGGATAAGTATCAATTTCAACTTCTCGATACCACATTTGAGGTACCAAAGGGTCTCCCGTATTCTGTCGCAAGTCTAGTTGGGAAACCCCCGTGAACCAATCTGGACTGGGTGTCATGACTGCCATGGTAGTGAGAAACGGAGCGCTGGGTGTGATTCGGATCACTCCAATCACCTTTTCGGGGGGACCGCCATTGGGTGCAAAGACCCCACCGACTTCAATATCCATCACGGCCTCATTTTGACTCAACGCTTCGATGGTCCACAGCAGAGGGTCTCCCGTCTGCATAAACAATAAAAAGGAAAACATCATGAGATTTCTTAACAATTGGGCCACGCATCTCTCCCTTCCTGTACAATTAATTTATTTGCACAGCAGAACATACGATACGTACCGATGCCAACGAGGCAAATGCATCCGATGCAGGACTGCCCGGGGTCCACGGCTTGTACCGATTCGAATGCGTGACAAAGTGCTGGTCGGCCCAAGCTGCCGAGTCGACGGGATACAGTGTGGGGTGACTCTCCGCAGTCCATAGGTTACGAAAGGAACATCGATACCGTGCTTCCTCCGTCACTGGGATACCACTGAGGTCTTCAGAACCCACAAAGTCAAACGCGTCCAATGAGGTAGGCAGCAGAACACTAATCACTGCTGCTGCAATAGCAGGGGTCTGGATCCTCATCCTGTTTCTACAATCTCTTGCAAGGGTGGTCGTTTCTTCTATTTCCTCTTGTGATTGGTGTGTGTTGCCATGCCTGGCTCAACTCCAAGAATGAAATGGCACAGTGGGACACCTCGGTTGTCTGTTGTTAGAACATGTTCCCTGAAAAGTGAGGGTTCGTCATTCTCGCGAAATTTTGGTTGGAGTGGCGGGTGGCCAAAAACGGCACGATTGATGGCCGTTGCTTGGACTGGCACACAAAGCTAACACATACTTAGCTAGCTACCGGCAGAGTACTACTCGTAGTACATGGCACTCAGTCAGCGGTTCTTGTTCGCTGGAAAAAAAGATCTTCTAGCGGCAGGAGAGCTAGCTAGCTAAGAGCTCGATCTGGCAGCCTTCTACAGTCGTACGTTTTGGCATAGCATCGGAAACAGATCCATCAAACCAAGCTCCCCAGGATCCCGGAGTATTGATGAGAAACCACTCCTGACTAGTAGGTAGGAAAGCAAACGCCGAAGACGATGGAGGAGGAGGGCAGCAGCAAGAGAGGCTTGGATGCCAGCGTTCCAAAGCAGCAGAAGCGAGCAAAGCAAACGGATATGCTGTGGAGGTATCTGCTAGAGGCAAGGCTGCTTCGGACGCACTCTCCTGTATCACAGAGCAGCTTCGGTCCAGTGACAGCAAGGATACTTCTATCGAGGTGGCAACACGGCAGCTCGAGATTGCCCTGGCATTACAGAAGCAAGTCAATGACATTGTCTTGCAGGCAAGGGCCAACATCAGGCATGTCCAGGAAGCAAAATCCTGTTTGAAGCATGATAATGTTTGGGTGGTTAACATCTTCCCTTTTCTTGGTACGGGACAATATGCTTTTGTGGCACCTGTCTGCCACAAAATGAAAGACATGCACACATTGTATTGTGAAGCTGTGGAGGATGAAGAGGAGCAACCAGCAACATATTCAAGTACTTTCCACAGTGCAACTTTTTCCAGTGTGCCCCGGGCAGAGTACTGTTATATCCATCGACACACTGGCACTGGCGGAGACATCAGTGGCAAAAAGGCTTGCATGGAAGCTGCCGGAGCGGGGAATCTGAGAGTTCTGCAATGGGCTCGAAGAAAGGGATTTGATTGGGATGCTGAGACATGTCGTCGTGCTGCCTGGCAGGGCCATTTGGATGTTCTCAAATATGCCCATGAGAATGGCTGTCCATGGGATACAAATACTTGCAATTGGACTGCTTTCAGTGGCCATTTGGATTGTCTCAAATATTCCCATGAAAATGGCTGTCCATGGGATACAGAGACTTGCAGAAAGGCAGCTAGGAAGGGCCATTTGGAATTCCTGAAGTATGCCCATGAGAATGGCTGTCCATGGGATAAAGGTACATGCGACAGTGCTGCAGAAAATGGGCATTTGGAAGTTCTGAAGTATGCTCACGAAAATGGCTGTCCATGGGACGAAGAGACTTGCACTGGGGCTGCTAGAAACGGCCATTTGGATTGTCTCAACTATGCCCACGAAAATGGTCGCCCTTGGGATGATTATACATGCGGTGCGGCTGCTGCGAGCAACAATTTGGAAATTCTCAAGTATGCCCGTGAAAGTGGCTGTCCATGGGATGAAGACACCTGTGGCTCAGCTGCTGAAAGTGGCTATTTGGAAATCCTGAAGTATGCCCACGAAAATGGCTGTCCGTGGAATAAGGCAACATGCAGATATGCTGCTGGAAATGGCCATTTGGATGTTCTCAAGTATGCCCATGCAAATGGCTGTCCCTGGGATGAAGGCACGAGCACTAGTGCTGGATCAAATGGCAATGTAGAAATCCTGAGGTATGCCCATGAAAACGGTTGTCCATGGAGTCCTCACACTTGCAGTGCTGCTGCGACAAACGGCCATTTGGAAATCTTAAAATATGCTCATGAGAAAATTTGTGATTGGGATATGGAAACATGCCACCGAGCTGCTTATGGTGGGCATTTGGTCATATTGAAATGGGCCAGAGAAAAAGGCTGTCCATGGGATTCAAATACATGTGTTCAAGCTGTTGAGGGTGGTCATTTGGAGGTGTTGAAATGGGTTAGAGAAAATGGCTGCCCATGGGATTATTGGACATGGTTAGCTGCTTGTACACAGGGTGATTTGAATATTTTGCTGTGGGCAAAGGAAAATGGCTGCCCAAGGACAGTGGCGCGGAGAGCGGCCTGAGCGAGGTTAATTAATCTAGCTAGCTAGAGATTGACTTGTTGCCGTGCCCATGATGTAGTCTGTCGTGTTGTCTACCTTGGACACTCACCCGTTGATTCACGCTTCTCATTTATTTAGATCTAATTTTAAAGATCCGGCTAAAAAGATCTTCATGTCGGTACCGGTACCGGTGGGACACATCCGCCAGCCTTGAAAGAGTGAAAGAGGGAAACAACGATGGTGAGACCTCCCTATGCTACTTGTCGAGCAGCCGCACGCAAAAGAGGACAACGATCCTGATCCCTATCTGTCCACGCTGCCTGGCGTGGAAACCTGAACCCTCATGGGTTCTTCGACGAATGACTCGACTCACAGTTGCCAAACTGTACCATCTCACAAAACACGAAATCGATTCCCACACTTCGCTCCTACTCCTCAAGTACATCCCTACATCTCTCAGGTCATCACCTGCGTTCCTGAAATGGATACCCCACATACATGTCGCTATGTCTGCCTCCTTCGCAAGATCAGCTCTAAGGCAATAGCACCCCTCGAAGACCGCTCACAGATAGCAACCTTGAATGAACACAACATGCAAGACCGGTCCAACTCTCTCTTTCAGCCATTGAACAGTCGATCGCAAGAAGGTTGTCCCCTTCTCTGCTCACAATTCTTCCTTCAGCCAAGCTGCAAGCAAGAACTAGAATAGATTAACCTCTTGCGTCGGCATCAGGGTCTAAATCTCTTCGAAATCCTCGACCATGGCCGCCGCTTTATTCTCTACTCTCGTTGACCGCGGAAATCACTGGGACGCACCCGAGTTTGACTATGCCGCTCTTCTGACCCGTGTCGGTGGTAACGTTGACACGAAGCACGCGAGGTCAGGTAGTGAGGAATGGGGCATGACGCGACGGGATCGGTAGGTGTCAACGTCCGCTTCGCCCTGTCCATGGGGACCGGAGTGAAGGGTAGGAGGGTCGTCTCCTAACATGTCGGGACCATCCAAATGGGCCAGTGTCTTGCAGCGTGTCTCGGCGACACGTTGGAAACTGGTGTTTGGAAGTATCACGGAGCGACACTGTGAAGGTCGTTTCCGGTGAGCACAACAGCGAGGTTGTCGTAAGGAGAGGCGCGTTCGAAGTCAGCGGGGTATGTGAACAAAGAATGCCCGACATGGATGTAGTCTTCATCACCGGTGAGAACGAAGCGACGAGAAGAGGAGACCGCGTGACGCAGAGCACAAGGTAGTTTGAGTGACGTTACTGTTT